TTCAAAGAGAATTGCAGATAAGATCTGGGGCAGGCCACAGCTGGCTTCTTATGCAACCAAAAGCAAATGGCACACTTGTCAAAGTGTTTACATTGGAGGCAAGGCAAAGGAGGAAATAATATTCTTCCCAGAACTGACATTTTCCCATGAAGCTTTTATATCTTTAAAGCTTTCTGTATAGTCAATAAATATTTTTGTCAATAAATTGACAAAAGATTGACTAATAAGCAGCAAATAATAAGCAAATATTGACTAATTAATAAGCAGCATGTGAGAGTGCTAGAAAAACCAGGATTTCATTAGATTCAGACACAATTTTTTTAATCAGCAATGAGTTCTCATTTTTTAGATAAAAAACTCAACCAGCAAAACATCTGCATTCAAATAGTATGCCACACTTTCACCAATCAGAGTTGACTTTCTCTGAAAAATTCTCTTGCTACTAACCCTGCCTTATGAGAAGTACTAAAGGAAGTACTTCAGGACTAGAGCACTTTAATCCACACCAGGAAATAAGGAGCACCAGTAAAGACAACTACTTTGGTTAATATTAAAGGCACTATAAATGTAGATTTTACTTGTAATTTTTCTCTATCTGATTTAAAAGACAACTGAATAAAGCAACAATTACAAGTCTGTGGAATTAATGTATAAAGATACATAATTTATATGAGAATTATAAAGATACATAATTTATATGAGAATAGCAACCCTAGGAGTGGGAAGGTCTTGGAGGAATATTAGATAATAAAGTTTTATAGTCTATTGAACTTAATTTGGTGTTAATACAAACTAGATTGTGATAAGATGATAATTGTAACCCTGAAGCCAGCCACTAAGGAAGTATCTGTACAATATAGATCCTCCACAATGTCCTATGCAGGAGTCTGAGATTAAATAACGTTAGGAAAGACTACTTATGCCTTTGCCCATGATGATCCTCTATTGCCAGTTCCTGCAACAAAGGCTTAGGCAGTCCTGCAATAAGGAATCTGCTGAATATTTGTTTCTTTTCAAATATTTTATTTATTTATGCATACAAAACTGGGGTACAGGCCAGAGGTGCAGGGGCAGTGAGGGGCTTCACCAGAGACAGAGTGGGGAGCAGAACAGGCAGATGGACAAAGTACACTGCTGAGGGGAGCAGCGGGCAAGAGAGAAGAGTTCTGCTGCGCCATGTAGATCACCGCTGGCGCGGGGAATCCGACTTGCACGGAAGTGGCCATGGCTTGGCTTAGCTTTGCAGTGTAGTGCTCAAACCTGCTGCGCCATCAGGGAGGGCCCTGAAAGTTTATTTTCAAGCCCCAATCTTTCTGGTAAGGGTCCCTCATTCTGAGTAATAGTCGTCAACATGCAGTTGCAAGTTGTGTTTGTGGAACACAGTGTGTGAAGCAGGACAGACATATTAGTCAGGGTTCTTAAGAGAAACAGAACCCATATTGTGGGGGGCGGAGGCTGTATACACTGAGATTGAAGGAAGTGGTTCACCAATTATGGAGTTAATAAGCTCAAAATGGGCAGAATGGGCTGGCAGATGGGAGGGAAGAGCTGATGCAGCAGTTCAGATCTAATGGCAATCTGTTTTCAGAATTCCCTCTTTCTGGGGGGATATCAATTCTTTATGAAAGCCTTCAACTGACTGGGTAAAGTAGGCTCATAATATAGAGGATAATGTACTTTTCTCAAAGTCTACTAATTTGTTAATCTCACCTAAAAAAAAAAAACCTTCACAGAAATATCTAGAAAAATGCTTGACCCAATATCTGGCACAGCAAAGTTGACACTTAGATTAACATCACCACAGTGGCAGGACAGTTATGACAGTGATAAATCCTTGCTAACTGTGAGCCTGTGGCGAATTGTACCTGAGGGGAGAGGTGGGCACTGATAAACCGCTCAACTGTTTTTTTTTTTGCTCTGGCCCTAACCAGAGTGTTAATGCTTCAGAAGCATTGGCCAGTAGATCTCATTCATTAAAGTATGTTCTTAGATTGAATAAGTAGGACAGAAAGGACCAGGCAATGAATGTGATCTGCCATATGTTTCTCCAGTCGACGAGAGAAAATCTTTAGCAATCTGTCATGTGAAATAAGAAAGGGGTGGAATCGGGCTGAGCTGCAAACTCACAACTCTATAACTGACGTTATTCTGGGCTCTGTAGGTAAAAATTTATGTAATACATTTAATTAAGATAACTTCAGAGGAATGGGAAGAGAACCCTTAGTAAGGCCCATCAACAGATGATGCTCTCATCTCCCATCCTCCAAATGACACCCAGTCACTAATTAGTGTTATTAGCAATTAAAATGGGAAAAAATTTCCCTTTCTCTTCTTTCCTCAGCTTTGGGGCAACTTAGGCTCTCTGGTTTTGAATGCTTGACTACCTCCTCTTTGTGGAAGTTCAAGTTGTCTTGGGGTCTTCGTCCCAACCCCCTTTTCAGTTGGTAATTGGGAGACTGAATCATTCCCTACCTAAGATTAACTGCACCCCCTGGTCATAGGTGAAGCTGGAAGGAGTCAAAAGTTCATCTCTAGTACTTTAAAACCCTGGTTTATTAGAATTTGGTTTAATGTGTTTTCAGGAAGTTCTTTCATGGTAGGTTTGAATTTATAGTTGATAAAGGGCTCTTGTCTTTAAAAGAAAGCAACCCGAAACAGCAGAAAGATGTGGTGTATGTTACTATGGAAATAATTGAATGAAAATTTTATTTCCTACTGCATCTTTAATCAGAAAGAAGAGAGGAGAATAATATAAGAATAAAGAGTAGACAAAGACTTAGAATGTAATTAAACGATGACTGAGAAAAAAAAATCCATCAAGAGGTTTTCACCAAGGAGACTTGATTCCACTGACAAAACAAAACAAAAATCAAAAAAAAAACTGTTCCCTTCTCCTTTTGCTATTTCGCTGTGATGCAGGAGAGTATGCAGGAGAGCCTGGGATCAAAGCTCTGGGAAGCCTTTGATTTGAGCTCTCATACAGGGGGAGAAGACACTTCGCGAATCACACAGCAACCAACCACTGATATTGGGGACACTGCCTAGAGGGGTTTTGATGAGAGATTGGATTAAAGTTCAAAAGCCAAAAACAAGCTTTTTTGAGAAATTCCAGCTCTAGTAGGTTTCAGAGTGCCAGTATTTAAAAGCTGTTCTATGAAAATTTGAGGACATGGTTCACATGTAGAATTAGTGGAGCAGATCCTTTATGTATTATTGAAGGGCAATTGATGCTAAAGTATATTTTATTACATATAGTCATGGGTAAATATGGCTATTACGTTTGTAATACTAATAGCATCTAATAGCAGATGTTACATATTAATTAAAAGTATAATTTAACTTGAATCTGCAACTGGTAGAAGCATAATTGAAGGGATCACCAAATCTTAATTTAGAAGTTCATTTTAGCTTATTCTATTGGCTGCACAGTAGGATTTCCTGGGGAGCTTTGAACGATCCCAGTATCCAGACCATTTGGAACAGAATTAAATGGGTTGAGCCCTAATGTCAGTATTTTCAAAAACTCTACAGAGGATTCCAGTGTGCAGAGTTGAGAACCACTGATCTAAATGGAAATAAACTCTATAGATCTAATATGGAAGAGTCAGTTTTGTTAAAAAACAACAACAACAACACTGCTGTCTGCCCAGCATCCCTTCCTGGTCTACCTAGACCCACTGGGTTAAAAGCTCCACACCCTTTCTGCTGTCCTTCCAGTGGCATGCAAATAAATATTTAATGACCTACTCTCTGGAATAAAAAAGCCCTAATTTGTAACATCTGCTGGTTTCCAGATTCTATTAATGCTCTCAGCATGGCCAGTTCCCCCATGTGGGCAGCACAGTAGTGACTGAGTATGGAGTGGAGGGGAGAGGTGCACGGTCACTCTCACAGGCCAGGGCTGCTTCCAGACATGGAGGGCTCCCCGCAGTTCCACTTTTACTCTCTCCTCTGTGCCCACCCTGAGCACCAAGTCCCGTCAGGTGGCAGTAGGAATAGGAGCCACCTATACACCTCTGCCTCTGCTTGTACGACAAATGGGCGCACGTGGTGCTGTTCAGGTAACGTAACATCTTGTCTCACAGAGTCTAGGTCAGCTTTGAAAACTTGAAGGGAAAGTGCCTGAGGCTGGGAATGTTTGAGCAAAAGAGCTTCTGGGTTATATTTTATGTGCGAACCTGACTACAGTGAATTGTCCTAGATACAAGTCCAGGCACTGACAGGTGAGGTTTCCGAGCCTCAGAGCTGAGGGTCAGACTCTGAATCAGGGTGAAGACACCAAGGCAGAAGGGGAGCTCCTGGGAGGCAGCCTCCCAGCCTTCTCTGGTTGATTAACCTCTATTCAATGTGTGTCCTGCTCCTGCTCTCCTTACCCTCTTACTACAAAGCAGTTCCACATGACTTTCCTCATGGAATTGTTTTAATATATACTTAAGGCCAGTAAATCCTCCCTATCTTAGTAGAGGTTCTTGGAAACCATGACTTGAAGTCAAATAATAGATAAGGAAGCCAGGTCAGTGTTGGTTGGGACTTATTTTTTCTCATCAGTGTTATTAAAAAAAAAAAAAAAAGGATGTTGAATGAAATAGATTTATTCAAGACCCTGCTGTATTAGCTTCCATCTACAGGTGAAATTTGCTGAAGTCAGACAGATGAAGTAGGGTGGTTCACCCAGGTTTGAGCAACATGCCCTAAACAAGGAGCCAGGACTTGAACCCAAAGCTTCTGAGCCAGGTTGACTGCTCATGTACACACAGTCTATCAGTCACCTCCACTTGGGCATGGGAGTCCACTGCAGGGGAGGAGGAAATGAGACTGGAAGATTCCAGTCTTCCAATCTTGTGAGCTAGCTCTTCGCTAGTCCTGCTTTGGCAAGCGTGATTTCTGAAATGAGCACTGTCAACCAGAGAACATGTTAGATACTGTAAATATTAAATGGGGAGGAAATAAGAATGGCTTGTGTAATGTGAATGACTGACAAACTGTGATTCTAAAAATAGAACCAGGCACAACCTCTTTTAAGAGCAAGTCAAATCTGGAGGATACCTGGGACTCGAAGAAGTGGCTGCAGAAATATGGCCTAAAAGCCCAGAAGCTGTCATTTTATGATGTCCTTGCTGACTGTTCCTTCCGTCATGCTGATGGAGTTGTTGATATAAAAGCCAAACCAGAGAACGAGGCCATACAGACCAGTGCAGTAAGTGAAATGAACTTCTGGGCGGGGCTGTGGCTTCCCCTTGATGCCCTAGGTAGGTAAAACCTTCTCCAGCCCAGAAGCCAAGGTCAAGACCAAGGCTGAAAGATAATATGGGTGAGGGAGGGGAAACAGCTTGAATTTCCATAAAGAATGATGCCTGTCTGCTTCTTTAAATGGTACTTGAGAGAGTAGAAATCAAGTCTGGGGATGGTTTCTAGAATATAAATGAATTATACAATAATCATACATAAGTCAGGTACTGGGCTTGTAGAATTCAGGCATTATAAGTCTCAGAATTAGTTGACATTATGGCAAATGAGAAGTTTTTGTTCCCCCATATTGAATAATTGGAGGGAAAAGAGAAACTGCTGGTGCATATGCCCAAATCAGGCATTTCTGTTGTCCTTTCCTATTGTCATTATTTAGGATGCTTGATTCTAGTGACTACCAGCCAGTAATATTGCACTCCCTATAAATATAAAATCAAATTCTCTAAGGGGTTATAGCACAGGAAGGGTTATGAAAATTCTAGAAAGCTGTAGTTCATAATGCCAGTGGGCCTGAAAAGTGCACGCTCCTCAGAGTCCCAGTCTGACACACACTGGAAGGGTAATGATGTGCAGTAATGTCTCCGAAGCTTCAGTCAGTGGGCCATGGGGGAGGAGTCCAGGGGCTGAACACAGGTGTGTATAATAGGAACCAGAAGGCTGTTGACTATTGTGACTATTGGGAAAAACTAAAAACGGTCACAATATGAAACAGCAAGGATACAGTGAATATTCTAAATTGTAAAATGGAAGGCACCAGCACAGTGTAGTGAGAGCTAACGTGTGTGCAACAGAGGAGCTCCCGTAATGAGCCCTAGTCGCTGGGAGAGGAGAGCAAGGGCTTCCTCGTGGGTGTTGTCACTGTACATATTCTGTAAGCCACCTTCCCAATGTCTAGGTCACCCAGGAGATTCGGCCCCACAGAGATGAAATCCCTGTGGCTGATGCCCTGTGCAGTGGCCCCAGGGCTCCGCACCTCCTCAAGGGAAGAGCTCTTTCTTCTGAAGCTACAATAGCCACATGATGGTGGTTTTGCTCTTACTGTTCTATGTTTGCAATGAACTGCGAGGAAAATAGAAAAATTGAATTAGAGAAATGCAGAATTAACGCAAGACTTGTTTCCTGGCTTATGTATTGAGATGCAGAATAATTGGTACAGTGCAGGGAAAATTTCATTTGTGCATTTCCTCTCCCAGTGGTTTTCTGATTTTGTAGACATTATTCAGTAATGTTATTAGTTCAGGAAATCACACATAACTAGGTTTTCATCTTCAAAATACATTAGACCCTGGATATTTAGAAATGTGAATCCTGTCAATTTGAACAAGCTTATCATGAACGAGGGAAGTGTGGTACACACAGGCCACCCCACCATATTTTCATTTTCCTTGTTAAATTTCAGTGAAATTTTACAGAACCAGTTTAAAGAACTTGGCTTTTTTTCTTTCTTTTTTTTTTTTTTTTAAAGATTTATTTACTTATGCACACAAGAACTGGGGTATAGACCAAAGGTGGTGAGAGGATTCACCAGAAATAAGATAGGGAGCAGAACAGAGAGATGTACTGAAATTCACTGCTAAGGGGAGAAGTGGGAGAGACAGGAGAGGTCTACTGTGCCATGTGGGTCAGCAGTCTGGCCAGCAAGCTGGGGTGCAGGCCAGAGGTGTGGGGGGTGGTGAGAGGATTCACCAGAGAGAATGGGGAGCAGAACAGGCAGACCTACTGAATGCTGCAGAGGCTGAAGATAACTTCATAGTGCTGTGACTTAACCCTTGCACAACAAGGGTGCCCCAGAACTTGGCTTTTAAATGGAGGTTCTACCTCAAATGTCTTGTGCTAACAGATCCTATGGTAAAAGTTGAGATGTGTAAGATATAGTTATCACAAATATTGATGTAAAAGGGGGCAGTTTTATTTTAGTGCTCGAGGCTACATATCTGAGCCTGGATGTGCACATCAAATTGTGATGTGTTTAAGGAAAGGAGAAGCAGGCTCTAGGCAAATTATTTAGGGATCCCTCAGACTTCTACCAGGCGGATGTCCCTAAAATTTTAACCCAATTTATAGGTATGGATCCTGGAAACTCATTTACATTGAAAAGTAAATGAATCAACAGGTCATTTAAAATGTATTTGCAGTAGGAGGGGGAAGCAAAAATGCATTTCTAATTTGAGAATTTCAAGCAAAGTTTAGTAACTTGATATTGGGGGGAAGGAGGCTGAAATTACATTGCAGTCAACGGTTGCTTATGCCACTTGTACACAAAGCCAGCCCTGATGTTCCAAACCTTACTCTTGTCTGGCCATTTATCCTGTAACAATGATTTGTTGAGCCTTTGGTATGTACCAGGCAGTGTGGTGTGTTGGAAAGTGCATTTGGAGTGAGGTGACCTGTATGTGAATACTCTGCTCTCAGCTACTCTTAGATGTTGAGCAACTCATTCTACTTGTTTTTGAGTCTCACTCTCTACATCTATAAAAGACCAAATTTAAGAATGTGTCTGAACATGATGTTCAGACCCACAGATGTCCCTTTCCATCTTTTCTTTATTACAGTGTGTCAGAGTAGGTATTTAGGGAATTCCTATATGCTTTCTTTGCGAGTTGGACATTTGTGCTCTCTTTTTATATGTGAGCAAATGCAGTCACAGCACCTCCAAGGACTTAAGCAACTCACCTGTGATCTCGGAGCAGCTGGAGGCAGGGTTTGAATCCCGCTCACTGAGTTCTCAGACGGTTCTCCTCCTGCTGCACACTCTGCTGCCTGACACCTGCACTCATGTAGCTAACGGTCTGGAATGTTGCTGCTGGGAATGCATAGAAACAGTGGGAAATGCTGCGTGATAGGACTAAGAGTGGGAAGAACCTTTAGGTGACTTTCCCAGGAGTGGTGAGAGTGAGAGAGAATATCTTCCTCCTTCCATCCTTGTACTTGATGAGAGGAGGTTGTGCTCGCTGCCTGCCCTGGAAGAGTCAGACTGATCTCATTATGTCCTTCAACCCTGTTCATATCAGTCACGAGCAGATACCTGAGTTCTCCCTCCTGTGTGTCTCTGCCATCCCTTCTCTAAGCCTTCTCCACTCCTTCCTGACTCCTAAGATACTTCCCACAGTGCCCTCTCATCTAGAAGTCAACCCCTCTAACCTCAAGTGTTAAGAAATGTTCTCTTCATGGGTTTGTCTGGGTTGTCTCTTGAGGACTCTGGTTTCTCTCCCACTTTCCTCTGGGCCTGGAGCTGGGTGATGAGCTTCTTGCTCCCCTTGGCTGCTTCATAATCGTTCTTCCTCTATGGTCTCGTGGCATCAGAATATACCACCCAGTGCACCTCCTGAGGGCAACACCTACCAGTCACCCTCCTCAACCCTTTGCTGTCACTGTCTCCAGCTTTTATTCCTAGTGATGTCAGTTCCGTGTGGTGACCCTCCCCACACCCTGACCCTGCATGTTCTGACTACTCTTTCTGCCGTGACATCCTCCTCTACTCCCTTTCTGCCATGCTTGCCATCTGCATCCCTTGACCTTGTCTTAAATGCAGGGTGATCACAGCCCACATAATCAAATCAGACTTCCCACACTGGCCACTTTTATTTTGGTCATCTTCTCCACAACCCTAGTTTTATCAAACTTGGACCCTCACTGGGATTTTCAGTTTCTTGTTTCTACCAGCTTCTCTCTGTCTCCCCTACACAGTAGTCTCTACAGTACATGCTCCACTACTTCCCTCCCTCTCTTAAATTATTGCAAATGGAATTGGCAAAGTCCTAATCCTGATTAATCCAACTTTCTGCCTTACACCTGTACAGTTGATTGCAGTAGAGGAAATGAGAAAACCACAGTTTGATGCCTGGTTTAACTTTAAGTTCATGACCTTTAACTTCAGGTGACTTTTGTCCTACCCAACAATCCTGATCTGTTTTTATGATCCACTCATTCTCCAGGATGTCTACTTTCTCCTTTCTCCCAACCACCTCCATATCTCACTCTTCCCTGAATTGCTAAATCCAGAGATCATTTCTCAGTCTTCTCCTGACTTGACATATATCAGCCTTTGACATAGATGGTCACTTCCTGGAAATTCTTTTGCTTAGTACAAATACACTGTCCTGATTTTCTTCGAACTCACTGGCTATTCTTCCTGACTTCTTTGTTACAGCTTTGCACAGTTCCCAATGTGTAAGCCACAGGGTCTCAAATATTTTCATCTCTGCTCCATTATCATTCGTTGCTTAGGTGACCTTGTCCAGTTCTGCAGCTTTTAATATCAGGTGTTGTTGGTGCTTCCAAATTCAAAGCTTCAGCCAGCCCCAAGTCCTTCCCTGATCTCCAACTGACTATTTGCGTGTTAATAAAATGGCTAATAGGTATCTCACACCTACAGCGTCAGACATGGAGTCCCGCTTCTTCTGTTCAGGCCACTCTCCCAAAAATCTTCTCCTTTTAATTTATTACAATTTCTTTCTTTTGTTTTAGTCTCTGTACCAAAAGCCATAGAGTTATTTCTGAGTCCTCTCTTTTCTTAGAGCTCTCATTAGTAGGTTCTCCGTCTTCAGTTTTGTCTTCACAATACACTTTTAACTTAGAATCTGCATCTGACCACTTCCTGTGGCCCATGCCAGCTACCTGACCACCTGCCTCCCTGCTTCTGCCCTTGACCATCTATAGTCTGTTCTCAACAGAGCAACCAGAGTGATCCTTTAGCACAACTTTAAAACTACAGATGCTACTTAAAACTTTAAATGGTCCCTACTCTGAGAGCATAGATCTTAACATTTCTCATTACAAGAAAAATAGATTTATAGCTGTGTGTGGTGATGGATATTACCTAAACTTTTGGGGGTGATTATTTTGCATTCTATAAAAATATTGAGTCATGGTATTGTATGCCTGAAAGTTGATTACATATCCCCCAGCTAAGTTGGCTTGCAGACCCTGCTGCCTCGGCCTCTTCCTCATGATTCTCTAGCTTTATTTTGTTCTTTCCCTCACTCTATTTCTGCTATACTGACCTTCCTGAAATTCTCACATATGCTAGGCAGACTCTAACCTCAGAGCTTTTGTCCTTGCCATGTACTGTGTGTCCCCAAACTCCCCCCAGGCCTCCCAGGGCCACACTCCTTGTTTCTTTAGGCCTTTGCTCATGTTTCAGCATCTCTTTGAGGCTTTCCTCTTAGAAAAGGAAACTTGTCCACATCCTCTCCCCTCTTCTGCTGCAGTCTCTATTTTCCTCCTTTGCTCCATTTTCCCCCATATTGTTAGTCATCATCTGACCTGCTTCATAATTGCATCTGGCATGTTCCCTGTAATGTGAGCTCCCTGAAGGCAGGAGCATTGGTCTTCCTTTGTGAATTGTATTCCTGGTGTCTGAAGAAGGCCTGGCTTGGAGTAGTGCTTATTGCATTTATAAATTAGTTGGATGAGTGATATGAAACTCTCCTTGGACCAGGTCTATATGTCCCATTGGAAGGTGCCAGAAGTGAAATGAGGTTCTTGGCTGCTTAGGACTGGGAGGAGCAATAGAAAGATGTTTCATTAGAGTCTCAAGTCCTGTTCCCTCTAGATGGTCACACTGACCCTCCAGTCCATTATGAACTGTTATGGTTTTTTTTCCTTGTCAAAAATTGCCCAGTCATTACTGCATCTGCCTGCACCAGGTACCGGGTGTTAGTGGTCTGCCTTGCTAACTATGTGTGTGTGTTTATGTTTACGCAGGATTTCCCTGCTGGAAATCTTAACTTCTCGGGACACACATGAGCTTGAACATGTCTTTCTGAGTTCCCAACTCCCACCTCATGGCATCTAGCACAGGGCTTTCCAGGAGCAGGGCTCAGTATGTTCAGTTGACCAGTGTTGAATGATTTTACTATGGGAGGGAAGTGCCGAGATGTAAAAATAAGGCAGAGCTGAAGATGGCATCTGGAGACATTTCTTCTATGAATGGTTTCTGTCCATTGTCTTTTCCTTAGGAGACCAACAAGAAGACAGTCCATGCAAAATATTGCAGCAGATTTATCCATGCTCCCTGGAAGGATGGGAGTTTGGTTCATGTCTGTATTACCAAGGATAAGTGCACATGGTACAATGAGAGAATGCATGCAGTTCTGGCCCAGATCCAGAGAAGGTTGGTGTGTTTGCCAGGAGGGTACACACTTCCTGGTCTTTGAAATTAAATCTGCTTGACTTTTTGGTAAAAGGTCAACCAAGAGAAAGGCCAATAAAAAATGACAAGTCAAGACTGCCATGTGATGATTTGCTGGTAGACTTGTTAATAATAAGGTGGGGAGGGGATGCTTGGATTCAGACTTTATACTGCCTTGATCACAATGCAAACTCTTAAAAATGACAAGCAAAGGTGGAGGTCCCGTGTGGGTTGCGTCACACTGTAGGGATAAGTAGCACATACTTATGCTCATGTCTTGCACTTGTTGGGGCCGCAGATACACTGCATACTGTATTATATCTGTATATTCTTGAATATTACATTTCAAGGCAACTGAAACAAAGTTGTGAAATAATTGAGTATAATGGAATAATATGTTTTAAAAATCAGATAAAAATAACTTCATGTGATCCCTCTCCATCCTGATGTTTCTTAAAATCGGGTAGTGCTTATGAATCTCGTGTTCTAATGCTATGACCGCAATATCAGCCCCTGGAGGCTGGTCTATCTGAATGTGGTTGCCTCCATGATGCCAGGGGACAACTTTAGACCATAGAGACTGAAGTCCATTAGGTGCATGGACTCTGAGGTCAGTAGAGCTGGATACTAATCCCAGCTCTGCCACTTTTGTGACCCTGGAAAGTTAGTTAACATCTCTGTACATCAATTTTTTCATTTACAAAATTGGAAAAATAGTGCCATTTATACACTTGTTCTACCGATTTGATGAAATACTAAGTCTAATGAGTTTGGACTGCTATTCAACCTGCAGTTGCCACTTGAAATGAGAGTACCTTTCATCCCTCTGTTTTCTGTTATAAAACCACAAGGTGTAGGCCCCAGTCTGCCCTGTACCTTAGAGCCGCAGTTTCTCAGAACACAGCTGGCAATAGATTACTCAGAATAAGCAATCTTTGTTCTGTAGAATTCTCTGCTAATGGTTTTGGAGTTGACTAGGGCAAAGTAGTTTGACTTAAGATTTGGAAGAAAAAGGATACTGTTAGAAGACACCCCACCTGCCTTGCCAGGTCTATTGTAGCTCCCCTCTCGCCAGATATCAAACATTGCTGGAAAGTTTCCTTTACTCCTCTATAAGATTTTATGGAGAATTGGTATCAACTCTCCCTTCAATGTTTGAAAAATCACTGTTGAATCATTTGAGCCTGGAGGTTTTCTGTGGGAAGGTTTTTAATGAAGCATTGAATTTCTTTAAATGCACATAGGTGTGCATTTGGTTGATCATTTATGTTGTCTTTATTTTCTAATCAATCTGGCTAAAAGTTATCCATTCCGTTGATGTTTGGAAAGACCTAATTTTTGGTGTCATTATTTTTTTTTTCTCTAAGATTTTCTCCTTTTTAAGCCATTGATTTCTACTCTTTGTTATTTCCTTCTTTGTGCACACTTAAATTTTTTAAGATGGATGCTTAAATCATTGATTTGAGACCTTATTTCTTTCTAATATAAGCATTAATTTCATAAGCTTTCCTGTGCTTTAACCATTTCTCACAAATTTTGATATATTTTATTAAACTCACCTCAATGCATTCTCTGTTTCTTCCAGGAATGCTTCTTTGACCAAAGTTTTATTTATAAATGTGTTATTTATTTCCCAAGTCTGTGTATTTTTCTGATAGCTTTTTCTTAGTGATTTCTGTTTTATTTCACTGTGGACAAAGAATTTTTGTATCTTTTCAATTCTTATGAATTTACTGAGACCTATTTTTTGTTTCTTTGTGGTCCAGAATATGATAGGGGAAAGAAAAAAAAAATACCACACATACTGGTTTTGTTGATTGGAAGGTTCTATAATATCTCAGCTCTGTATTGGTTGATAATATTATTCAAATCTTCTATACTATTACTGATTTTTTTGTTTAACTGTTCTATAAATTGAGACGAGTGTTGAAATATCCAATTCTAGTTGTAGATTTGACCTGTTCTCTTTTCTGGTCTATCAATTTTTCTTCATATGAAATTCTTTTAATAGGTGCACCATATGTTTAGGATTATTATGTCCTGTTGTTGAGTCAGTTCCTTTATTGTTATGGAATATCTGACCATTTTAGCATTTACAGATTATATCTACTTAATTTATCACAGTCTACCTTCAGATAGCATGAATCATAATCTCTATCAAGAATCCTACGATATCTTCTTCCTTCCATATTTGCTCTTGTTGTCCTATACTTTACTTCCACATATGCTGTGAAACCACCATATAGTAGTCAATTGTCTTGTAAACAGTTTTAAAATTTGAATAAATGTATTTTGTATTTATCCTCATGTTGGTATTTCTATTGCTCTTTACTTTTTTTTTTTTTTTTAGAGATTTATTTACTTATGCATACAGAACTGGGGTACAAGCCAGAGATGCAGGGGCAGTGAGAGGATTCACCAGAGACAGAGTGGGGAGCAGAGTGGGGAGCAGAACAGGCAGACTGACAAAGTACACTGCTGAAGGGAGCAATGGACGGGTCAGGAGAGGTCTGCCACACCATGTGGGTCACCTCCCTGGTCAGGACTCGAACTCGTGCTGAAGCAGCTTTAGCTCTTTTGTGTTGCTCTTGATCCCATTGTACCACCGGATCTTTACTTTTTGACATAGAATTTGGTGCAGGTTTGTTGATGATGAATTATCTAAACACCAAAAAACTTCTAATTTCCTTTTATTTTTGGAGGATAATTCTTTCTAAGTATAGAATTCTAGGTTTACAGTTTTACTTTTCAGTACATTAGAAATCTTTATTGTTTCATTAAAACTCTTGGATCTTTGGATGTGTTGTTTTCATAGAACTTGGAAATATTTAGTAAAAATAACTTCAAGTGTTTTTTCTTTGTCCGCCTTCCTCCTTCTTAGATGCTAATTACACAACTTAGACTCTTTGATATTGTTCCCTGGGTATTTATTGTTTTAATTTTTTTAGCCTTTTTTTTCTCAGTGTGTTTCATTTAGAATAATTTTCTGTTGCTTTACTTTCCTTAAAGTTCCATGATCTTTTCTTCTTCTAATGTTTAATTGACTGTTAACATAAAGTATATGTTTTCATTTCAGTTATACTTCCAGAAGTTCCACCTGAGTCTTTTATAAAGCCTTCTATTTCTCACCTCAAACTGATCATACTTTAACTCCTTGAACATATGGATTGCATTTTATAATAGTGGTGTGACATTTGTTCTGCCAATCTATTACATTATCGTGTCATTTTAGATCTGTTTCTGTTGATCCATTTTTCTTCGGTTGACCCATTTTCTTGCTTTTTTGCCTGCCTGGTAATTTCTTACTGGGTGTCAGACATTTTGAATTTTACATTGGTGGGTTCTGAATTTTATTGTATTTTTACTATATGTTCTTTGATGCAGTAAAAGTTATGAAATTACTTTGATCCTTTTGGAGCTGACTTTTAATTTATGTTAGCTTATATTCAGGGCAGCCTTTACTCTAGGGCTAATTTGGTATTACTGCTAAGATGATACTCTTGTGAGGACTCTACTTGATGACCCTTATGTTAAAGAGACTATTCCACTGTGCTTGGTTGGAAGAGGAACTGTTACTAGCTTTGTGTAATTTCTGAAGTGTTGATCTACTTCCTTGTTAGTGATTTGTTCTCTGGTTTCACTAATTCTTTACATGTTCTGATATTTACTTAGCCAAGATCTCCAGGGCATCCTTCTGCAGATTTCCAGAGGGAATTCTCATTCTTTCTCTGTCTCTCTCCATCTCTCCCCACCTTTTCTCTCTCCTGCATCAGCCTCCTCCTCCAGCATTTTTTCCATCCAAAGCCTAATTGCTTAGGTCCTGCTAAACTCTGAGCTCTGTTTCAAGTATTTTTCCATCTTCTCCTTCCCCCACTTCCTTGGCTTTGCCTGCAGCTATATACTTAATTTACATCCTGTGACGGGAACCTGAGCATGAGCCACAAAAGCAGCCCTGCTCATACAACCACCTGGTACTTGGTAATTACAGAGATCTGGGTTTGCTTGATACTGTCTGTAAGCTTCACTGAAGCTCCAGGAATGTGCTGGCACTACTAGCTGGATTGCAATCAGCAGGATTAGAAGGACAAATTGTCTGAAGTCATAGCTGAGTGCCTCAAAATATCAGATGACTGGAAGTAATTTACTTTTGGCTTTGAAACTCAGTATTGGATTTATTTTTCTGTTGGATTTTACTAGTTCTGTTTTTCTTGGATTAATGTTGGATAGTGGAGGGGAGTAATGAGGGAGCCAGCTCAAATGTAGAATTTTCTATGAAAACCCTCCAAGTGAGTGATCCTCTCACAGAAGATTGTATATAATCAATATAACACAGCTCTGGCCTCTGTAGCTCTATAATTAAGTTCTTAGGAAGATGCTTGCAATATTACAAGCTGTCGGGGACCGGCTCTAACCATTTACTTGTAATCTTTATTCCCTCCCCTCCCCCCCCCCCAACACCAGGATTAAGTGGATACAGGATGGAAGTCAGAGCCTCTTCGGAAAAGTATATAGTGACTGTGTCTACATTCTCATTGATACGTCTCACTCAATGAAGGGCAAACTGGATTTGGTGAAGGACAAGGTCATCCAGTTTATACAGGTTAGATGTAACTATCAGGTGCATGCAATTGGGAGCCTATCATAAATGCATTTCCATCACTCATCACCTGTAGTACTATGAGAGGAGTACAGGTGAGGTTTGCTTCAAGAATCCACAGGAAAGTCACTTCAGAAAATAAACTCCCATTTGCCACTTAGAGAAGCGTCAAGAGACCTTTACCAGCAGTCTCTTCCTTTGACTGGTGGGTTACCAAGGGCGCTTCTGTGTCTATTGCTTCAGGTTTTCTCTGTCCTGATATCTGTGGTAGTCACATACCTCTGCTGTTCTCCAGATATTTTTCAGGTTGGCGTTTTAATTTCCATTGTTTATTAGGGATGCCTTGTGCACTGGCCCCAGAATTGAGGTGTGGGAGGAGTTTATCTAGGCTGTTGTTTAGGAGCTTCCCACTCTTGTTCTACCTGATCTTCTGAGTTGTGTGGCCCAAAAGCATATATTTCACCATTCCTAACTCCCAACTTACACAGCTGTAAATGGCACTATGGTGCTATCATGAGACGGTAGTGTTGATGTGTTAAACAGAGAAAATAGTTGTGAGGTGTGTTTGATAAATACCAAATATAATTTTTAATTTGATAAACCTCTACTGAGAAAGATGGGTTGATGGAAAGAAAGTGAACAGATCTGTAAGTGAATAACAGGCTTAATGAAATGATGACATTGCGTTGGATTCCTTTTTTTAAGCAGATGTGTTTAGTGTGCTGACTGGGAGTATCATTAATGTCAGCATTAAGTACAACATTTAATGTCACATTATTTATAAGCACCTATGTGTGGTATGTTTATGTCGTCACACATATATACATAGACACACACATATACTTGTTACATCCTAATATCCAAATGGTATATATTTTATTTAAATGTCTTTTTTTTAATGAGGCAAGATGGTTTTATTCCATATAATTTTAAGTTTCTGAACCTGAAAATGCACATAATCTCACTTAAAATGTATCAAACTATGCTTGTTCTAATCTTTTCTTCCATTTAGCAGCTTTATGGCTAAATAATAATTGTTTCTTACAGGAACAGCTGAAATATAAAAGGAAATTCAATTTTGTACAGTTTGATGCTCAAGCGGTGGCTTGGCGGGAAAAACTTGTTGAAATTGATGAAGTTAATTTGAGACAGGCTCAGTCCTGGATTAGAAACATTGAGGTAAGACAGAGGCTAGGTCTGGAAGAAGACACCTAACTTTATCACTTGCTGCTAATGCTTTGAACTCCAAGGTTGGTAGCACCTTCCATAGAAACTCATTTTGTTCCTATTCCCAACAAACCTGCAAGTCTCATTTCCAGACCTCTTGGCTCAGAACTCAGTTCCTATATGAAAACAAATTTCAAAATGTACGTATTTTGTACTTAAACATTCAGATTTGTTTCTCCCGGAAGCTCCTTTTTGCTTCAAATGATGTATTTAAAACATTTTCAAAATAAATACTTTCCGAAAATGTTCCTACTTTTAACAGTGAACTTTGTTCAAAAATAATGCATTTGTGGATACACAGTGTCCAGTATGAAAACTAAAATTGTGAAATAATTGGGAGAAGGGCTGACAACAGGAAAGAGTTAGGACAGCAGAATGTAGGTAAGAAGGTGAAATCGTTCATCAGGCACACATTGTACTTACAGAACTTTAAGGCTCTGCTCTTGGCTTTACATATACCACTGGGGAGGATTTTCCTCTCCTTAAATGTTTTCTTATGTCTCAAAGTTACATTGAGTTTTAAAATGATTTTCCCAGAACCACATAGCATTGTGGATACTTGAGATATACTAAAATTGAAACCAAGGGATTTTCTCTAAAAGTTCCAACATTTATTTTTTTAAAGAGCAGTGTCTGAGTTTAGAATCTGAGATCCTTCTGGAAGCTACAAATGTGCATTAGTGGACCTCCCTGAAAATTAGCAGAGCAGAAACTGGGCTTGTAATTGGGCAATTTTTCTTTTTTAAAATAGGAGGAGGAAATCTGTTCTGTAAGAATCAATAACCCTGTCAAAATTGGGCTTACCTGACTACCATATCCTAGGAATGAGTATTATACTCAACTTGTTAGATTTCAGCTTTTACTGATGAGTGACTTGTGTTACATGTTATCACCTTTTACAGACTTACAGTAGGAAATAGATTCTTAATACAAAGCTACTAACTTAGGGCTTCTGGTAACAAGATAGCCTATATGAAATCTCATTAGATGATAACATTGGTTCTGCTTTAGAATCAGCCATCTAAATGGCTAAAAAACCCAACATTTTTCTCTTCTTTGCAGAAATCTTAGTTGAAACCTCTTTGTTTGCTTGTTGGTGGTGCAAAAATTATTTTCAAGAAGATGGAATCCTTGGCTTGGACCAGGAATAAACCCAGTAAATTCAGAATACCGTCCACGCCTCCTACTGTGTGTGTGTGCTGGTGTCGCAGAGCAGGGCTTCCTCCACCAGGCACAGCTCCAGGCCAGGAAGGACAACAGGGCCTGGGCCATAGTTGGGGAGGGTCTGGCCCCCCACTGCCATGGGGGAGCTCTGACCCAATTTCCTATGGTTCTCAGTCTGACTTCCAATTTTCTGCCACTTTCCCCACATAACCTAACCTGTGGGCTTCTGCTACCCCAAATAATGCAGCAGTTAAATGATGATATTTTTTTAGACTTCTAAAGCTGAAATCAATTTAAATTTATGAAATGGTTGCAGAAATAGTGAGAGCTTCTCCTAGTGTTGATATATCACATACCCATAATACATTGATCAAAATGAAGACAATCACATTAATATTGCTACTCAAATTACAGGCTACAGTTAGAGTTCATTATTATTTTCTTACTCTTTATTCCTCTTCTGTTCCAGCATTCAATCCAGATCCCATTTCACTGCAGGGTCCCCTTTGTCTCCTTCAGTCGAATATTCCTGTCTTTTATGGCCTTGACATTTCTGAAGGAATGAATCGGAGGTTTTGTAAAAAGTCCTTTGTAAAAAGTCCTTCAATTTGGCTTTGTCTGGCATTTTCTGATGATTAGAATGGGTTTGTGGAATCAGAAAGAAAACCACCTCAATGGCTTATCCTCATCCATTATATCAAGAATACATGATGTTGATACAACTTAATATGTGATGTTTACTTTGATCACCTGGTTAAGATGGCATCTGCAGGTTTCTCCCCTGTTATTTATACATTCATAAATAATAAATGTTTTGCAGGAAACACTTTGAAGATATGCAGATTTGTTCTCTGTCCCTTAATTCACCCATAAATTTTAACATTCATTGGTGGATATTTCCTATAACAGTTATTACTGAGCTTTTTTTTTTTTAATTTTTTTAATTTATTTTTTTTTAAAGATTTATTTATTTGTGCATACAGAACGGGGGTACAGGCCAGAGGCATTACTGAACTGTTTTTAATGGTAATTTTTTAATGTCCTTTATTACTTTTATACTTATTTATTTTTTAAAGATTTATGTATATTTTTTTAAGATTTGTTTATTTATGCATACAGAACTGGGGTATAAGCCAGAGGTGCAAGGGCAGTGAGAGGATTCACCAGACAGAGAGTGGGGAGCAGAACAAGCAGATCGACAAAGAACACTGTTGAGGGGAGAGTGGGTCAGGAGAGGTCTGCCACGCCATGTGGTCACCTCCGGTGCTGGGGATCGAACTCACACTGAATCGGCTGCAGCTAGCTTGAAGTGCTGTGTCCTAACCCACTAGGGAGGACCCACTTTTACACTTATTTATTGGAATTTTTCTTTAAGGAAGAGAGTCTCACTTTTTCTTCCTTTTTATTTACTCATCAGTCATTTATTTGCTTCACTATAAACTCATGGATATTTATTTTACTTTTTAAATTATTATTAATTTCATTTCTAAATGGCTCCTACTTTGTCACTGAGAACACCTTTCGTGTTGCCTCCTTTTTAAAAAGATTTATTTTTATTTACTTATGCATATAAGGACTGGGGTATAGGCTGTGTGGGGGAGGACAGGGTGAGAGAATTCACCAGAGGCAGAGTGGGGAACAGAGCAGATGGCTCCTCTAAAATACACTGCTGAAGGAAGAAGCAGGGAGACAGGAGAGGTCTCTGTGGTCTGCTGTGCCATGTGGGTCAGCTCCCTGGCTGCAGTGGGTGGTAATAGAGTGACAGTGCCGAGACTTGAACCCCTGTAACACCAGGGAGGCACATCCTCCTGTCCTTTAAGCACCCACTCCTTGTTTTTAAACACTTTACTTGCTGGCACTGTAACATATTACATACTCGTCTGGTTTTCTAGCCTCAGTCCTGGAATCTATTCCTTCCTTCCTCCAAGGAATCCTATTTCTTTTATTTGGGAATGGTATTTAGAAACCCAGATCTTGGCATCTGGGTATGTTTATTGTACCAGACTATCATTGCTTCTAGGCCTTCTTAGTGTATAATAGTCCCTGTCTCCACAAACATCTATAATTATGTATCTTCTTCATTTATATTTACATAAAAAAGAAAAACAAAGCCATGACTTCATACTGATGGCTCTTGCTCCAGTCCAGAGCCACAGGGTCTGTTTGTAATGAATCTATTTGTCACTTTGACTGTGAGAAGCCCTACTTGCATGATCTGTAATGAATTTATGTGCTCAACCTTATTATACTCATAAAGTAGTTCAAAATTGCTAGCCCATACTTTATGAGAAGAAAATTTATCAGTTTGAGTGTGGTGTTTTTGTAACATTGTTTTTTTCTTTAGCTTTACAGTATCTGTTCAAAAACAGCTTTCTAAAGTTATAACGTCAGGTACTTTGACTCAGCCCCTCAGTGTGTTCACCCATTAGCTGTATAGTTAGATTCATTGGTCAAGGGCTACGTTCTATCTTGGAATACCTTTATATCCCAGTCATATCCCAGTTAAATCCATTCATTCTAGTGTCATTTTGACAAATGCATAGTCAGTATTTACATCACAGAACTGAAGACAATAGCTCTATCACCCCACACCACCCCCAATTTCTTCATGTACCCCCAACTAGTTAACCTCTTCGCTCTCTTGGTCATCACTGCCTTGTCTTTTTGTTCCTATGGTTTTATCTGTTCCAGAATGCCATGTAGATGTAACCATATAATATGTGGCCTCTTTGTTCTAGTTTCTCTCACTTAACCAAATATATTAAAGATTCACCCAATTTATTCCATCCATTGAGAAGTTCCTCCTTTCTGAATAGAAAGTGGTTTATCCATTATCTGTTGAAGGACATCTGTGTTTTTACCCATTTGGGGAATTTATTTTATAAATAAAATGGGCTATGAATATCTGCATATAGTTTTTTAGGTAAACATCTCTCACACAATATGTAAATGTTTATCTGAGATTTTTACCTTGTTCGCAAACTAACGTGGATGCTGGTGGAAGACCTAATACCCCTGGGTCAGAGACTATGGACTTCTATTACAGCAATTGCAGTTGCTAGATTGTCCGCATTTTCTGGCATCAGTTCCCTGGGTTCCGATTCCCACGAGGTAATATAAAACAGGTCAGCAACACATACAAAGTAGGCTAAAAGAGGGATCCTGAACTTAGGGAGACTGGACTTTCTATAACAAGTGGGAAGCATACTTGTCCTTTGCTTGGGCGTTAAATGTCATCTTTATATAGATAATAAGCATGCCTGCCCTTGGCTCTGAAGCGAAATATTATCTCTGTTTTCCAAGTCTGTTCATAATATAAACATCCTTGAAAAGACAGGCCAGAGCAAAGGCAGTCTCTCTGCTTGCAAGATATATAGAAAGGCAAGTGCGACCCATGGGAATGGTTTCATTTCATTTTACTTGGGTATGAATAAATACTTAAAAGTAAGATTGCTGGGTTGTGTGGTAAGTGCATGTTTAACCTTATAACAAACTGCCAAACTATTTTCCGAAGTGGCCTTACCATCTTACATTTCCATCAGCAGCATGTGAGTGTTCCAGTTGTTTTACATCCTCTCCAGCACTTGATATTGCCAGGTTATTTTATTTTAACCATTTTATTATGGGTAAAATATGTGCAGTGGTATCTTACTGTGGTTTAATTTGCATTTACTTAGTACTAATAATCTTGAGCATGTTTTCATAACTTATTTGTCATCTGTTTAGATCTTTGGTTCATTTTTAAATTGAGGTTTATTTTAAAAGAGTTTTAAAAAAATATATTCTAGAAACAAGAACTTTATTTATCAGGTAGCTTAAAGCAATTTGCAAATATTTTTTTCCAAATCTTTTCATTGCCTTAAAAGAATCTTGTGTGAAGCAAAAGTTTAGTTTTGGTAAAGTCCAATTTATCATTTTTCTTTTATGGGTGTGTTTATAGCATCCAAACCCAAGGATATGTAGTGTTTCTCCTATTTTCATCTCAAAATAAAATACTTGTGTGTTTAGACTTACAGTCCTTTTGAATTCATTTTTATAATAGGTGTGAGATATGGTTTATCACTGTTTATTGAAATCACCATAACTTCTTTCTGAATTACCTTTGCTTCTTCATCAAAAGTCATTTGATTGTGTCTGTGTGCATCTGTTTCAGGGGTCTCTGACATCTCATTTATACTAAAGTTTGAAATTAGCTAAGAGTCCCCTAACTTTGCTGTTTGCAAAATTTTTGGCTATCCTAATTCCTTTGACCTGCTTTATAAATTTTAGAATCAGTTGTTGACACTTACAAGAAAGTGTTCTAGGGTTTTGTTTGAGATTGCACTAAGTCTATATATCAGATTCAGGAGAATTGACAATTTATCACTGTATATATCTCCATTGATTTAAAATTTTTATTACCATTATGCATGATAATTTAAATTTTGATTGCTTATTACTATTGATTTTGTGGTATTGTTTTATGTACTAATTTACTAAACTCACTAATTCTAAGAAAGTTGTAGATTTTTTGGGATTTTTCAATGATGCTATTTATGAATGCCATGGTTTTATGATTTCATTTCTTGTCTTCCAATCTATATGGTTTTATTTCTTGCTTGTTTTAAAGCACTAGCTAGGACTTTCAGTATAATGTAGAATAAGACTGGTGATAATGTACATCCTCGCTTCCTAATGTTAAAGGAGAAGCATTCAGTCCTTCACCACTAAATACTTTGCTAGCTGCAGCCTTCTATTTTTTGTAAATGTGTTTTACCAAGTTAACAGTATTTCCATCTATTCTTGGTTTGCTGAGAATTGTTGTAAGCTAGTGTTGAATTTTGTCAAATATATTTCTGCATCTGTAGTCTGTTAATATGACAAATTACATAGTTATTTTCAAATGGTGCATAAGCATTGTGTTTCTGAGATAATGCCACTTGTTGGTGAAGTGTGCCTTAGTCTTGGTAGGGATGGTGTCCTGCAGTTTCAGTGACGGGTCTTCTCAGTGGTTCTGAGCCCAGCGACTGTCCCTGCTCCTTCTCCAGATGTGACAAGTTTATTGTTTCCTTTCCTCTTTCCCCAGATGTCCTGGATTTTTACCAGAGCCCTAAGAGTGACCATTTTGTTGACCTCCCAACCCTGCTCCCAATAAACACCCAAGCAGATTAAGACCTTTGTCTATAAAGGAGATAAAGGAGAGGGTCCTAGAGACTCATGGGCCACTCACTGTTGCTTACTCCCACTTCTACACCACAAAGAAGACCCTCTCAACTTTCTTTCTGAACAAGTTGTGGCCTTGTAGTGAAAAAGCCTTTAAGAGTGGACAGATCCTCCCCCCCCACCTCCATACACACACCCCAATCCCACTCTGCCTCTATCCTCTCACCAGTACACACCTGTTCAACCTTTACCAGTTCCTCACTACCCCCAGGCAGACTCTCCTTGCTAAGGGTCTGATTGCATCTTGTGCCAGGAAGCCAGCACCTGTACCTCACCTGGTTCCACAGGTACCGACTCTACTCCGATTTCAGGTGGTCAGTTTCCCTATGACTCAGACACTCTGATGGGAGGAACAGTGGTCATGTACTTGCTCTTTAGCTTTTAGTATAGTGGAAGTGGTCCTCTTGCTGGTGCTCCCTGGGCAGAAATGGCAGGAGTTTTAAAAATGTACAGTATCTTTGTGGTGCACCCATATTGCTAATGATGCCATATTAGTGTTTTTCAAAGATTGGGTCTCATGCCTAATCTTGGTTTCAACACATATGACCCCTGGTATTCAGGCTGCAAGTTTAAGCTGTGCTGACAGCTGAATGTCTCGCACAGAAACAAAGACAAAATTGCATTAAGAGCTCTGTGGTCAGAACAGGAAATCCATAGTCCTGGCTGCTAGAAGTCCCAGGTCTGTCTGAATAGAGGCTTTTATGGTACACCCAGGGATTTGGCTTCTTGGAATTACTGGGCTTAAATTATCTCAATATAATTTAAATTCATCTTTTATTTCACAGTTTTCTTTCTTTTTCTGGAAGCAGAAAGTAAATACCATTTGTGAGTTGTTTTTTAAGATTCAATTATGTGCTCAGTGTTTCTGTTTTCCTTCTGTAGATTGGAAGTTCTACCAATACCTTGAATGCCCTGCAAATTGCTTTTGCTGATAAAGAAACACAAGTTATCTACCTCCTGACAGATGGGAGACCTGATCAGGTACTTAGCAAAGTTGGGAACAAAGAGGAACTCACCAATACTCTGACAGTGAAGGCTAAGATTGAATTTGGGGGCCTTTTCAAGTGCCATGGAAAAACTTTTGAAAGTGATTTCCTTGGCTTAGGCACCCAGCATTGAGGTGAGAAAATGCACTGAGGAATTCTTTTGTCTTCTAAGGCCCTGAAGAGAATTTATGTCACAATGAATGTTGCCTGGTTTATATGACACACTCATAGCTAGCTGGGAGAGCAACTCCATGAAAGGAGACATCCGTCTTCTTTGGAAGACTGGTTTATATTTTATTACAAACTAGGAGTGAGGAGGATTCTTTTTGATTTTTTTCCTTTGGGCACTCTGAATCTCAATATGTCACTGCACAATGTCCTTAGTTTTACCCCTAATTTTAACGTAGTAATTATTTAAACAAAAGCATGCCTTCCTGGTGAAATGTTCTTTCTTTGTTTAGCCTAACTGGACAATATTTGAAAAGTCTGAGCAGAGTCTGTTCATCTTCTTTTGAGTTCAGTGAATGAAAGACAAATGCTCCAAGCCTTAAATAAATATATGAATTTGCAGACTAGTACAATGTAAATTAACTGCTAAATTAACTGCTGAGGTGAATTGTATCAACTTGCATCCTTCATTTGGGTTGTTTACATGTAGAGACTGCTGGGCAAATATTTTACTGCCAGGTAAAATACCCTATGTCATATGGTCCAGGTCTTATGTAAAACAACTGAATTTTACCACCATGTGAGACGTATGGTGAAATTGCATGTAAAGTGAAATTCTACTTTGAATGATGTTCCTATCAACTACACTGTGTTTTCTATTCATAGGGAATTAACGGTGTCTGTTATGTTTCATGTTTGGTGCCAAAGTTTGAGGCTAAATAAATGAATAATATCCTACCTCTGCCTCACAGATGCTTACTCTTTGGAGATGTGCTATTATACAGTTAAGCTCTGATATGATCCGGAGTGCAGAGGGGCTGTGTTATGAGACACCTAGGAGCACAGAGGGATTCATTCTGTTACGCAAGTGGAGAAGCCAGGGAGGCTCCACTGTGGAGACATTTCAGGTGTGCGTAGAAAGAGGAAAAAGAATTTCCTAAATGGAGATTACTGAGCTCCTGGGCAGAAGGAGCAGAAGTGTGAAAACACATGTACTACCAAGAGAAATTATGTGAGCACTAGGCTGGTAATGAAGAGCGCAGCATATTCCAGAAAGTCAGGTTGAGGGAGACTGCTACACAGGAAGGTGGGCTTTCCACTTCTGGCCCCAGCCCTGCAAAGGATGCACCAAGTACCACCCCTTCTAGTAGTATAGTGAGAAGAATACTTGCTCTACAGGCCATCACAGACTTCTAGAGGTCTGGAATCTCCCAACAGAATATGCAAAATATACCCAGGCATTTCCCTGGAGTAAAGATCAACAGCTTCCAACGGATTCTCAGAGGAGCTCTGATTTACTTAAAGATGTTCAACCAGGGATGTGGATGATAGTGGGGATCAGAAACATGCAGATTACTCAGAAAGGAATATATAAACTCTTTTTTATGAGTGTTCATCATAATATCTGACTTCCCCTCATCCAATCTATTTATTTTACAGATTTTCTTATCCTCCAAATGCTCAAAAAAGCAAATGGATATTTGATACTTAGTCCATGTAGACAACTTTACCATGTACCACCCAACCTCCATTTGTTTTTGAATTTTCCACTGATTTTGTAGGACCTGCACACATAGTGTCAATGTTATTACTTTCAGATACTCAGCAGAATTTTCTAATCAGAAGAACATACAGAGATGCTGTTTAGAATTCAATTACACAGACACCAGTTTACTGCTTCTTTATTAAATGTTGAGAGCAGAATTAAATAGTAGTACAAATCTCTTAGATTAATCAAGTTAAAATGGTTCTAGTAATATTAGTCTCATTCAAATGGAATCAATAAGTGCCCTTGGTGGGCTGTAAGTGTGAACAGAAACCTCAGGGCCTCTGCTGGCAGCAACCTTACGCATTTTGGGCTGCATTCATTTTGGGAATTCTTTGAAGTTAGGGACTTACTCTGACAGAATCAAGGAAGTGGAGATCAGGAAGGTGTTTGCGCTATTCTAAATCAAACATGGATGTGTGAGGATGAGGGGCTAGGAAAACACCAGGAAGCCACTTGCACAACCTCCTTCAGGCATTAGAAGAACCACCTTGCCGTCCTTCCACCCCAACTTGACTGCAGTGGTAAAAAGGAGATTTGTCCCTTTGGTTAACTCTGAGAAGAGAGACTTGGGGGTGGGCGGGAGGAGTCCCTCAGATATTCTCCTTGGTCTCACTAAGGGACTAAATGAACCCCTTGTTTTACAGGATTCACAGGGGGAGTGGGCTCCCCACACACCACAGCCCAGCAGAGCCATGAGAGTGAGAGGCTGGAAAGAGTCAGGATTAGCCAGGCTGGGGACAGGTTGATTTCAACATAAAGTCTACTCTTCAGAACTGTCAGGCCATAAAGCATCTGAAGGAATCCCGAAGGGAGGAAACACATGATTGATTTTCCATTGCAGAAGTGGAGGTCCCTAAACTCTGTCCAGATCTCCAGTGCCACACTGAGCACTGCAACATTGGTCCAGTTTAGTATGCAGGCTGAGGTCCCGGCTGAAAGAAAGGGTGCATAAATATATACGTCATAGCCTTCCTGTGTTCGTGCTCTGTGTGGAGTGATGGAATAGCTATAGTGCTAGAGACCAGTCAGAAGGTCATCCCCTGCAATACCCTTCCCCTGCAGTGACCTTGGGCTTGTGTCACCTAACATGAATTTCCCCATCTGTAGCTTAAAGATTATGCTCCTTTCTCACAAAGTAGCTGTGAGTAAATCAGATGATGTGCCCATGAATTCATCCCACTATAATTTACTGAACACCTTTTATGTGCTAGGCACTGCTATGAGTCTGAAATTCAGTAGTGAACAAGATGAGGTGCCTACCTTGAAGCTTATATTTTCTGGGGATCTTGGCAATGACCAAAGAAATATATGAAGTAATATCAGGCTGTGTAACGAAAAGATGGAAATGCTACCCGTGGCACCTGGCACCCACACAGTCAGTACTAAATCAGTGTTGTAGCAGCAGCTCCTGGCTAAAAGCATGTCAGATTAACAGAAGTGAGGTCTAACATCTCTAGTCTGGCATATGGGACTGGGGGGCAGTGGGCAGGTGACCATGGGAAAAACGAGGGTAACAATAGTATCTGCCTTCAACTGATGCAGTGCTCTTAGTGCTGCATCCACAGTGATTCCAAAAAGGGAATCTAGCTGTGGGAAGGAGAGGCAGAAGCAGAGAACCACACTCTGCCCTAGTAGTGGACAAGAAGGATGGGCCACCCCTGCAGGGGGTTTGTACGCTCTTTTGTTGGGACCAACTTAGTGTTCTTTTCACTCATAGCAGAACTGTAAGGGATCGGAAAACAAAAAACAATTGTAATAAAATAAAAATAACCAACAAACAACTATAAACCATGGATATCCTATGGGGGTGAAGAGGGGAGTAGGATCACAACTGGGGTCTACAGCATGGGGCTGTGGCGGTGGCACGTGAATGACGTGGTGGGGGGAAGTCCAAGGGAATCACAACCGAGATGACAAAATGTACAAAAGGAGGAATGGTGTAAAGTATATATAATAAAATATTTTTTAAAAAATAAAGAGGAACCCAGCTGATGACCCAAAGAGAGGGAAGAGAAAAATGAAGAGGTAGAGGTGGGCTTATGGGTAATGGTAGACTTGAGGCTGGAGCCATGGAGGGAAACTGAGGTTGAGGTACGTGGTAGCTGGAATGAAACCAGACTTGGGGGACCTTTTAGTTAGCTGCTTCCCTGGGCAGTGTGTGAACTGCCCAATGGCAACCAGTGGTGACTTGAGAGAGACCTCTCTCCCTCATCATCCTGCCTCCTCAAGCTTCAAAGGAAAATAGATGAGGAAGGGCTAATGACCAAAGAACAGGAAGTTGAAAATAGAAACAGGTTAAAGGAGCCAGCAACCAAAGAGCAAATTTATCACTAGGAAACTGATCAAGTGGGGTCAGGCTGACCACCGGCAGCTTCTGAAGATTTCAGCCAGGCTGCAGTGCTGGTAGAGATGTGGCAGAGGATTCATCTACTCACTTTCCTGAGGATCCATAAAGTTTACTGACAGTTGATTCTTACCAAGAAATAGTATTTGTTGCAAGTTAGGGAAGCAATTCTAGTACCAGAAATAGACTCAGTTTGGTGACCCTGGAAAACTTACTTTCTGAGTCTTGGTATCTTCCTCTCTCAGGAAGCCCATGTTTATCATGCAAATTAAGGTTGTATATGCCTTGGAAAAAGGCACATATGGGTGAAAAAAACTGTTTCTATGGATAAGAAATGCACCCACAGGTAGTCTAGGTGATATAGGGATGCAAGGATGGTTCCCAGCAAACAAGCTTCCTTCGTATATGATTTTACCTTTGTGACTTCTATTCTCATGTTTACAAGATGGCTACACCCCCTCTAAGCAGAGTGTCCATTTCCAGAGAGGAAGAAGGGCAAGGATTTTAGCTTTTTTTCATATAAATTTTGCCTTTTTATTAAAGGGAAATTCCCCTCTAACCTCCTGGGACTTCTTAGGTTTCACTGGCCAGAATTGAATCACATGGCCTAGTATGGCTTAGCTACAAAAGTCCTAGAAGAAGGGTGAGGGGTGTGTGTGTGTGTGTGTGTGTGTGTGTGTGTGTGTAGTGTTTTTTTTGCATTTTGTTGTTGCTATCTGGGCACATTATTACCATGTGAAGATCATTGCTTTGATAGTAAAAAAGGAGAGGAAGAAGTATTAAGCAGGAACAGTAATTTAGCAACTATTTCATAAGACAGTAGTGAGGATTAACTGGGGTACTTTTCCCCCGATGTATCCCGAGTATCCAGCACACAAATGGGCCCTTAACAAATGTTTCCTCTGGTAGACACTCTCCCCGTGGCATATCTGAAGCTGGACATTTCTTTTGATGGAGACACTTTGGAAGCCACACTGACCCGCAGTCTCATACTGTGGACTCTCAATGGCCAGGATGTTTTACTTTGGTTTCCAATTCCAATATCTTAAGTAGTTTAAAGCACAGCCCAGCATTCTAAATTAAGTGTCCCTAAAGTTGAGTGACTCCATTAGTTAGAGTGCTCACATTCTTTTTTCAACCAACTAATTGCCAGTGCCATGTCACTGGGTTATGTACTCTAGCTGTTTGGCGTTGTTTGCTTTGCTTATTGACTTGAATTGATGCCTTCCTAGATCTACTCACCACGGCATACGGAATTCCCTGTTGAGAACTTTACTACCTACAGTAAAAACAAGGGGTTTTCTGTTTTTATTTTCTCTTTTCCTTTCTATCATCCTTTCCCCCTAATGACTTCTCATTTCAGCCACCTGAAATGGTTATAGACCAAGTCAAAGTTTTAAAAAATATTCCCATTTATACCATCTCCTTCAATTATTATGATGAGCTTGCAAATGGATTTTTGAAAGAGCTTGCTTCTTTGACTGGAGGAGAATTTCATTGTTACAATTTTGGCTGTAAGGATCCTTTCCCACCAGTGACTGTCCAGGTAAGATCTTGATGAGCTGAGAAGATAGTATGCTTGTTGAGCATTTTAGACTGCTGGAGGCCCACTGGCAAAATTAGTTTAAAAACAGTAATCACAAAGACAAATGTAGTAAGTAAATTATGTAACAATGTGTCTACCAATGTTTCTTAAAATATGGTCCAATGACAATCTGAGCTTGGGCACTTACAAAAATGCAGGTTCCTGGGTCTTCAGAGCTACTAAATCAGGCTCTAGAAATAGAGGCCCAGTAATCTTTCATTAAAATATATTTTTTCTTTAAATGTTTTATTATGGAAAGTTTCAAAAATACACAAAGGTGGAAGAACATATGGGCCCCATATATACATTAGTCACCCAACAATTACCAACATTTTGCCAAGCTTCCAGAATTCATTCTTTTAACAAGGATCTTGGGGAGTCCATATGTAAAGCCTGTAACTACCGCTGTTTGCAGACAGTTGTGGGAAGTTCTAAAATATACAGATGGTAGGTAGTCTCCTATGCCTCAGACTACATAACCATGTAACCATCTGATAAAACAATTCATACTAATGGGAGAAAATTCTTTTCTCCTATCTTTTCTAGAGAATATATTTTCAAGGATGTCCTACTAGAGAATATGCTTTCTGACCTGTTAACTGTCCTGAGAAGTGACTGTAATTCCAGAACAAGTCAGAGCACTGATGAGTCCTTGCATATGAGGAAACTGCTACAGTCTGGGGAAAGACTACCCTAGGGGCTTGTAAGGAATAGTTCTCTGATCTCACACAGGGATGGGCGCAGTGATTACTCATATCAACTAGGCTGGAGAACCCTTAATCCTGCACAAGTGGCATAGAGTACACAGATCTGCCTGAATCTTTCTTCAGTAATGTGAACAGCCAAGTGTTGCTCCAGTTCTGACTAGCAAATCTTAAATTTACTACCTGAAAGGATCACACTATGTACAAGGAACTTAACTGCATCCCTGAACAAGCCCTCAAAATAATTATGAGAACAAAAATATCCACCATCCAACAAAGTAAAACTGACTTTTTGGTATCCAGTTGAATAGTACTGGCTATGCTGGGAAGCAGGAAAGTGCAGGCCAATAATAAGGAGATAAAGCAAACAGGAAAATCAAGCACATGCAAAGTGATTCAGATGTCAGTGTTCAGTTGAATAATAAATTGTTTTCAAAGACGTGGATAAGCTTTTTTGCTCATGCAAAAGTTTTAAACAAAATTTAGCAAACTGAAGTCAATAATGTATTAAAAATCTTAAGTATAATGACCAAGTTTATCCCAGAAATGCAGGGTTGGTTTAACATTTGAAAATCAATACATAATTCACCATATTAACATATTTTTAAAACTTTTACAATCATCTCAATTTATGCATAAAACATTTTGACAAAGTCTAAGACACACTTCTAACAAAAGCTCTCAGTGGGAGGAGAAGAGTTATGGGGTTGAAGGAGAAGACAGATCAAGAAAGAGATATGAAAAAACTTTGGGAGTAATGGGTTTGTTTCTTCCTTTGATTGCAATAATAATTTCACAGGTGTGAATATCAAAACTATACAAACAGCCCACTTTGTATACATTCAATTTAGGGTATATAAATTAGACTTTAATATAGGCCATTTAAAAGTATAAGAATATAAGCACTACATGACATTCTTCAGATTCTTCTTTTCCTGGTTTTCTTTCTGTTGGAAATATTTGAAATGTAAATTTTAAAATTCATTATCATAATGTATTCACTTTTCATTTTGGGAGAATGAAGATCTGACTCTTTTGATGGAAGAAATGGAGCAGGGGTACAGTGACCTGGAGAAGGTGCAAAACCTTTATTCTGAATCCTTGATCATGGACTGGTGGTACAATGGAGAGAAGAAAGGCCACAATAAGTGAGAAGCCAACCCTGCTTCCTGGGCCGCGGGTCCTCTCAGATGCTCTGTTCACTGTCCTTGACAGTCCTTCCCGAAGCGCTGAGAGGGATTTCTTTCACTGAAATGAATCACATAGTATAGTTGTGTTAGGATTAATTTGAAGCAAAGAGAATGCATAATCTAATAATTCGGAACAATGGTCTGAAGGCCAAGGCCTGGTCTTCATTCTGTGTGACCTATATGGATCCATAACTTCTCTGTATACCCATCAGTTTCCTCATCTTTAATATGGAGATTTGGCAGCTGTGGTGGTAGGATTTGGGAGAGATGACTTCTCAGCTTGTTTGTTTTCTGTCCTATATATAGTCTAGTAGTTTTAAGCAAAAATCAAAACCTTCACCAGCACGCAGAAAATGTGTCAAATCTTTTCAAAATGATTTAATGTGGTAAGGGTCATCAGGTACCACTGTTTCATAGAAATGCCCTCTCGGGAATTGTCTTTTTTATTTGATATTAAAATGTAAATAAGAATACATTGACTAATCAGGATTTTTTTCTTCATTGAAATTCAGTGACTTCTTACTGCAAAATAAGCATTACCATGAACTGGAGGGAGGGCATGGGCATGGGATCAGTAAAAAGAGATAAATTGCCTTGTTCTAGTTTTCTACCCATTGAAAAAGTATTATAGCTCCCAAATCTCCTCTCTTCCTTCTTTTTTACAACATTTATTGAGTATAAATTATGTGCTAGGTGAACTGGGGCATGCAGATGGCTGTAAGCCTGGTCCCTCCTTTCACTTCAGAGCCAGCGTGGAGGAGAATAAACAAGGATCACAGCTCATGGGCGAGTGCCCCACAGGGGCGGTGGGCAGTGAGGCTGGGGTGTGTTAAGGAGGGAGAACATGCTTCATGGTATTGCAGCAGGAGATGGTTCTGGAAACTCTTTTCTGTGGCTTCTGTGTTCAGAGCTTCAGAGGTGTGCCTGGGAAAATATCCCAGATCATAATGGTGAATGGATTGCTGAGGTCTAGGCACAGGGGTTCCAAGGCAGGGCTTTGCCTTGCTGGTCTTTATAAGCACTAGCTGCTCCAACCTGTGATTGGAGAACAGGTTTCTGTACTACTTCCTGCTTTATAAGTTTCTCTCCTTCATGTTCATGATTGCCCAGGGCAGTCAGTCAGAAGCAAGTTTCCCGCAGTTTATAGAAAAGGAAAGTAAGGATGTTCAAAGAATATTGAGTAACTTCACTGAGTCTCACAAGAAGAAAAATAGCTGTAATGTGAGCCTTGTCTAATGATTTCATGGATGGGCCCTGCCCACTCTTCTGCAAGGGGGGAGAAGGGGTAGGCAGCTCTTCACATATTTTTTTGTTTGTTTTTAAAGATTTATTTATTCATACAGAAGTGGAGTACAGGCCAGAGATGCAGAGGGTGAGAGGATTCACCAGGGACAGAGCAGGGAGCAGAACAGGCAGATCGACAAAGTACACTGCTGAGGGTAGCAGCAGGCGGGCCAGGAGAGGTCTGCTGTGCCATGTGGTCACCTCCGGGGCAGGCGGGAATCGAACTCATGTGGAAGTGGCTTAAGCCTCTCAGTGCTGTGCTTTAACCCACTGCGCCACCGGGGAGGGCCAGCTCTTCATATATTAACCAAATCGGGCATGTTCACTTTAAGTTTGCTGTATCAACATGATTACATTGACCTAACTCTGCCTTCTTAATGACAATTTTGTCTTCTCTCCTCTTCCTTTATCTAAATCAAAACAGGCATCAAAAAGAAATCTGTTCTATGGCTGCAACCCCAGAAATATGTGCAAAACCACATTCTGATGTCGAATCAACACAATCATCCTCCCTAAATATGTCGAAAGTACCAAGGGACCTTTCAAATCAAAAGATTCACAAAAAGAAAGTCCTTCATGCAGGTATCAGTGAACAAAATGGTTTGAATTCCTTGGTCTCATTAGTTTCCTTTCAATGTAAGGAGGTAAAAAATAAAAAGGAAATCTATATATATTTTTAAAGATTTATTTATTATTTATGCATACAGAAATGGGACACAGGCCAGAGGTGCAGGGGCCGTGAGAGGCTTCACCAGAGACAGAGTGGGGAGCAGAACAGACAGATCCATGAAGTGCACTGCTGAGGGGAGCAGCGGACAGGCCAGGAGAGGTCTGCTGTGCCATGTGGGTTGAACTCGCACTGAAGTGGCTGTGGCTCGCTTGCAGTACTGCACCACCAGGGAGGGCCACCATATATTATTTTTAAAGAAGTATTAACTTATCTAAATTGAAATTTTTACTGAGAAAATTGCATATGGGTACACATGTCTGATTGCGAACAGCTAGAATACGAGTGATGGAGTACGAGTGTGTGCGTATGTGCAGGTGTGCACAGCCGAGAGGCCAGGGCTACAGGAGGAGGGGACCACTAGAGTATGCCAGAGAGAAAACCCAGAGAAAGCCGAGAGTTCTCTGGGGCTGGGAGGCCTGCCAGTCTCCCTGCCCACCCTGTGCCTGCTTGCCCCACTACAGAGATACTTGAAATCAGAGGGAAATGGGAGTCAGATGGATGGAAGGAATGTCAGTGCATTAAGAGCTTTAGAGGCCCCAGCTGGAAACCACACAGGGTCCTCATTCCTTTAGCTGCAATAAAGTGAATTCTGCTTGAATGAGTTTGGAAGCTAATTTCTCTCCAAGAGAGCCAAAGCTTGAACTCATAAGTGAAGCAAGCAATACTTTGGCATTCAGTCAGTCACAGAACTTTCTTCTGAGGGTTACTCCAACAACATAGTTACACCTGATGAAGCATCTCTTTCCACCCCAGATTCCTTTAACCCGTCTCCCTGTAACACCAACAGAGTCTACCAAAACCAGCCTGCTCAGAAGTCAGATGTCCATGCTCAAGAGCTCAGCTTACAGTGAGAGGAAGGACAGCCTTTCCAACTCCAGCAGCTGGCTCACCACAAGTGACAAAGGCAAGTTAGAGGGGCGCTCTGTCAGGAAGTGCAGGTCCCCCTCCCTCTACCCACATCTCTGCTACTGAAAGAGCTGGGTAGAGAGACAATTGGGCATACACAAATCATTTTTAAGTGGGTCTGGATTGCTTACGATTCAAAGGACCTCCTTATAAATCCAGACTCTGTTTGCAGTAAACTGTCATGCATGGCTGAGTGTTTAATAGACACACAGCTTTCATGGCTACAGTGCTGGGGATGCTTGCTGCTGCTCCATGGTTTGCATAGGAAAATCTATCACTTCATACTTGGCTAACTTCTCTTCATTTGCAGGTTGTACCAGCTGAGGAGCCTCTCTCTGCCCATATTGTCAGCTTTTTGGGTGCTAAATGTAGGGGGGGGGGGAAATGGATGTAACTTTTCCACTCAATTTTTGTTACTACTGATAAAACTATTAATCTTAAATAGTAAATTTTAAGTTTAATTTATATAGTATTATCCCCTATATTTATCTGTATGGTAAAATCTCAGCCAAGCACACACACACACTCTATACTCTTAAGTAATTTAAGTGTCTGAGTGACAAAGCTACACCTGTTACTCTATTGTAGCTCCATTAAGCCCTGTGTTTATCAGTGCTGGTGCCAATGTGCCGTCTTTCTCAATTTCAATTGACCTGTCATATCCCCTATTATTTACCTAGTCCTTAAAGGGCTTATCATGTTATGATTAGAATGTTTTCAACTCATTGCCAAATTCCCCTACTTCTGGAGACTGTTAGTTCAACTAATATTTCTTCCATTTATAAATCCAAGTTTATATAATTATATACATTAAAGGCCCTAAATATTAATTTGAAAATTCAAAACTGCAACCAAATAGAACCTCAGAGGAAATCTGGTTTTCCATGTAGAGTGGAAGAACCACAAAATACTAAACTGAATATCAAAAACTAAAATATCAGTCAAAGCTCTCCTGTATAATTTGGAGTGCGTCTAATGAAGGCAGCACTGGTTAACAGTATTTTTATTTTTAAACATTCTTTTATCTGGAGAAGGAGATAATGAGGATGTTTCATTCCTTCAAGGAGTGCACAGTGAATATGGGGTGAGGTAGACAAGCAAAAGAATGCAAGTACTGAAGCAGGGGCAGATAGGGCAACAGGGCAGGAGGCCAGATGAAAGTATGGAACAGCCATTCACCTGCCTGGGCTCTCAGGAAAGAGCCACCCAAAATGACAAAAACCAAAACCAAGTGCCCAAGTGCTAATGCAATACAACACCCATACAATAGGGGGCTGTGGGCTATCACCTCGCAAAGGCCAGTGCCCGATAAGAGGACAGGTCACTGTCTGTGGGTTCCCACTCACATGCACAATTGCAAGAGAACTCAGGCTCTAGGAACAACCATGGGTTTATTTTACAAACAGGGGAAACAAAAAGCTTACTGTGGTCACAAGTGACTGGTTATCTCACCCAGAGAGCATCAGTGATGGTCACCACTGATCATCAGGAATGCTGAATGGCACTGGCCAGTAGTGATGATCACTACTGCCTTCTCAGAGGTGGTGTCAGAGACACCCCGTGTTAACTCTTATTAGTTGTTTGGCTATACCAACAGCAAACAGCTTTTTGAGACATCAGGCCCAGGGCCTTTGGTGCTCCTTTCAGCCGGGACAAGAGTGGCTTCTCTGGTCTTCAGCTTCTCTTCCCTCTTTGAAGGTCAGCTGCTGGATGCTTTGATTTGTTTTTTCTTCAGAAGCCAGGAACAGAGTCTTCCCCGTCTTTCTTTTTCCTTAGGATACTGGAACCATCTTCTTTCTCCTTCATAGGCTGGTATCCTCTACCCTCTGTTCAGGGGCTGGCATTATCTCTCAGCTGCCTTCTACCCTGGCTTAACTCTTCTTTTAGGGTGCCCCATCCACAAGTCTGATTGGACCATTTTTAATCCTGTGGTTGATTGGACCATTAAGCACCAATCAGCTCATAGCTCATACCTGATTGGTCCATTCCACAATCCAGGAAGTAAACTGTTACATAAAAGGGCTCTGAGGAACAACTGCCACAACTGACAGTATGGCAGTTACCCAGCTCTGAGGAGCAGTTGGCTTGTGGTGGAGAAGCAGGGTGAGAGAATACCACTGCTCCTGCTGGGATCCCACTGCTGAGGTGGCTGGGTTCCGATAACAGTACTATATTTGCCTATGCATTGGTTTTGATTGTCAATTGCAAATGAATCTCACCTGAAAACCCACCTTGAAGTATGGTCCATCAATTAGCTCTCAGTCACAACTGAAGTGTGGTCCTTTTGCATTTTGATATAAATCCTATATATGAGGAAATTACACAGTTCCCATTCCCCCACCCACAGAAATGAGCTTGCCGCTGACAAATGATTATCCAGATGACAAAGCATTAGAAAGATTGACTCGAGAAGAGAGCCAACTTTATGACCAAGAGTGAGTACTTTAAATTTATTTGAAGAGTTTTGTGATTTTTATTGTAGTAATTGTTAGAAGTTTTAAAATGTCACACAGTGTTTTATCCTTAGTTTTTCAGATATGTCTTCAGCAAACTGGCTCAAGACCCATGGCCTAGTTGCCAGGAAGCTCACCCTCATGGATGCCTTGTCCACGACTGCGGTCCCTCACTCCCCCACCTATGTTCCTATTCTGGGCAAGCATGTTGTTTCCAAGGTCTTTGATGAGGTAAAATAGATTTTCTTTGTCCCTGCTTGAGGTGTGTTTCATTTCCTGTGTCCACAAAAAGTAGTCCACTTTAATTTCGTTTATAGTTGTAACAGAAATGTATTTCAGACTTCTGAAAAAAAATTATGTGTAAAGGCAGTAAAAAGGAGAGAGTGAAGCATTTAAGTATTTTTGCTTTTAAGCTGAAAAGAAATTGGCCTCTGTTGGTGTGACAGGAGCCTCTGTTCGTGGCTCCTTGCTGATGGGTGCAGAGGAGAGCTTGCAGGGATATCTGCAAACCTTCTATGGCAGTAAAGCGTGACTATCCAATATCAAAGGGCAGGGAGAACTTGTAAGATGTTATGTCCTTCTTTTGCTTCCCTCACTGAAATACAGAGGCATCTTTTGCATTATAAAGTTTTCAGAGAGAAAAAGAGGGAGGGAAGGGAATGGGGAGTGGGGAAGACAGAGAAAGAGAAAGAAGGAGAAATCAATGAGAGTGATAATCCTGTCCTGAAGGATAAAAGAGCTCCAGTAGGTGGGTGTGGCTGGAGTTAAATGGGGTGTAGGCCAAAGTACCGAAAACTTTCCATTGAAATAGGCAACAAGGAGGTCCTTGCCCTTAGCAATAATAGTTCCAGTGGAGCAGCCAGATTGCCCAAGAATAAGGAATAAATACAAAAGGAATGAAAATATGAAGATTGAATATCTCCCTTTACCCTCCACCCCCACTTCCTGGAAAGGATAACAACAGCTAATGATATATGAAGTATCTGGACTCACAGTCACTAAATGGGAGTAATATCCTTAAAAGACCTTATCTCTTACTGAAATTCTTAAGAAAAAAGGTAGGATGTTTGGAATTTGTTTCAAAAATAATCCAGATGGTGGGAGTAGGGGAGGGAAGGGAGGAGGTGATAAAACCAAATTGGTTGTGAGTTGATAATTGTTAAATTTAGGTGAGGGTGTTGGGTGGAGGGAGATTCATTCTACTATTTGTCTGCTTTTATATACCTTTGAAATTTTCTTTTATAAAAAGTTGAAAAAAATCAAAGCAAGAACACTTTAAAAAATGATCTTTATCAATCTGGTTTTGCAATAACTGAGACGTGATATATTTGGGAAAGCATGTGAACTGGCAATTTTTACTATCAACTCATTTAAGAAATTACGTGGAGTTGAACATTCATTCTGGTGCGATGTGGTCACCCATTCTCAATCTGGCAGGTATGTGTGACCACTCGGGCTGACTTTGCCTCAAGGTGAGTGACCCTGACCCTGGAAGTGACCTGGGAGATTCCATTTAAACCTCCAGTGAACTCTAACCTGCTTAATCAGATGTCAGCTTGTCACTTAAACTTGACTTCTTCCAGAAGCAACAGAGAGAAACTGAACATTGATTTATTTCTTCCAGGAAGTTTGACAGCTTATCACATTCTGTGCATTTATTTCACTAATGTTCTTGACTTTTAATTGGAATACAATATATTTACTGAAACACCCTGGAAATTTCTTGGGTTTATCATGTCTTATCCTATATCTCCCAACAACCTCAGATACATTGAAAAGTAAGTTTCTCAAAAAACAAATATGACAAGGTAGGGAAGCATAAGCAAAGGAAGAAACCATAAAGGAAAGATTTACAGACTGAATATAAAATATTATTTTGTATGAAAATAAGGTGAAGGCATATCTCAGAAAAATATTTGTAACATGACACACTATAGGAATAGTATCTTAAATCATCATGAGATGTTGTGTATATAAATCAGTGTTGAGTATACATACACATATGCACACATCCATAAAGGAGTAGGAAAATGACAAACAGCTCAGTGGAACATTGGGGGGATGGGTGTTAACTTTTTTTTTTTTTTATTAAAAAGTTTATTTTTACATCATTTTTCACATTTTTTTTTTTTCATCTCAATTGTAATCCCCACGGGTTTCCCATCACCAAATCACCCCTGTGCCACCACCATAGTCCCGTGCATTTCCCTCCCTTCCCC